TATATATATATATATAGATAATGTATGTACGTATGCATGTTTGTCACTACTAGAAAACTGGTGCAATAGCTACAACACAATCCGTAGCTATTCCGTAGCTATAAGCGGATAGCTACGGAAAAATGTATGTAGCATAATGGCTCGTGGCTAAATTATAGCTACAGATTAGCTACGGAATCACTACGGAATAGCTACAAAATTTTCCGTAACTACCATAGCTACGAAATAGCTACGGAAATAAATAGCTACCGATTTCCTACAGAATAGCTACGGAAATGGATAGCTACGGAATATGTAACGACCCAAAAATCAAGGGTAAAAATTTCATTTTTAATATAGCTAAAACATTGATACCATTTATTTCAAACATTTCAAGACATCATTAAGTAAAACATTTATCAGAGTTCATCCCAAAATCATTCATTGCGGAAATCATAGGTGTGTGCATTGCGATCAATCCGAACTCTTCATTTCCAAATCGATGATACTTGAAACCAAAACTGTAAACCGTAAGCACAAAGCTTAGTGAGTCCCCCAGAGCATACCCCACACACAATACACATTATAATGACCGACCTTCGAGCCATAGTGTGTGTATGGGTATATGAGTATTTTGGTCGTATGTATACGTAGATGTGTTGCTAATAGTCTTGATCACACTTTTTCTAGGTGTGGGGTGCCTAACAAGCATGAAGCAACGTTCACGGCGTAAACATGCAAAACCGCCCCTTTTGTTTCATTTGACCAAACTACATGCAAAAGTAGTTTACCACCCGCACCTAATTTCTAAGCAACATTATTTTTTTATTTTACATGCGAACATAAGTCTTTTAATTAAGTACGACCTTTATTTAAATTGTAAAGGCAAAAAATTAGACAAAGTGTTTTATATGATTATTACTTGAATATAAAAATATAAGCGAGTATATAGCATTTATAAACAAAATGATATTGATTTTTTAAGTTTATTTATTATTTAATTAATTTTACTTCTAGGATAAAGAACCATCCACAAATGACCACGTTACCCCCTGCAGTTTTCCATATTTGTATTTTCTTATTACAAAACTTATAGACTTTCTATATTAGGCGACGTAGGTCACCACCCACACACAACACACACCATCATAAACACACACTCACACACTCTTCATCTCCATGCATTCTAGAACTCTCATCGACACACAAATTCTCTCTAAACAATAAACTCTTCTTCCACACTTGATCTCTTAGCGAGTTTCTTATCGGCGGAGTGACGGTGGTTTTAGTTTGGTTGCAGGGGAAGCATGCCTCGTGTAGTGGCGGAGAATGAAGTGGATAGCATGGCGGCGTTTTACCAAAGAGGACAGGTGGCTGCCTCTCCGTCTCTCGGAGAGCTTCTTAAGTTCGTCGGAGACATAAGGAAGGAGGCGAACGGTGATGAGACTCCGGCGCATCGTGTTTTGGAGATGAGCGAAACCAGCAACGAGCCTAGATCGTTGCCGTTTGTTTTGAAGTTCAATAATCTAACTTACAGTGTGAAAGTTCGGAGAAAGATGGCGGTTCCTTCTCTGTTTGGTCGCCGGGAGAGGCTTGGTGATTCTTCTGTTGGAAGTGAGCATCTGTTTTCCAGAAGCAAGGTTCTGTTGAATGATATCTCCGGTGAAGCGAGGGACGGCGAGTTAGTGGCGGTGTTAGGTGCGAGTGGATCTGGAAAATCAACTTTGATCGATGCTCTGGCGAATCGGATCGCGAAAGGAAGCTTGAAAGGAACTGTAACG